CGGCTGCTCACGCCGCTGCAGACGATGTTCCAGAACGCGGTCAGCTGTAGTGACCGTGGTAGTTTACAGCAGTAGCAGGCAGTAAAAGACACCTGCCCGAATCGGTTCTGCGTCTCCTCCTCGCTGCTCAACAGGTCAACGGCGTCCAGACGCAGCCGGAGGACATCGCGATCGCGCTGCAGCTCGTCGATGAGTGGGGCCGCGGCTTTGTCGCTGAGACGGACTACCGGCTTGAGGCGAGGACACGAACGCACACACACACGCACACACACACACACACACACACACACACACACACACACACACACACACACACACACACACACACACACACAGTGACCACACGCGCACTGGGTCTTGCACTTTCAACGCCGTGCGGCCTGTCCTTCTAGACGTGGAGTCGCGAGGGTTGCTTGGCCCTTGCGTCACCGCCCTTGCGTCTGTGGAGAGGCGTCCCTTACCCCACCTTAGGCGAGGAACACGGCGGGGTTTGCTGCGTCGATGAAGGCGCGCGGCCTCGACGCGGTCTGCGCGCCGGTGGTTGTGGAGCGGCTGGTGCGCGATACGGTGTTGGTGACCGAGTGGGTCGACGGCTCGCGCCTCGACTCCGACGCGTCGCCCGACGTGCCGCGGCTGTGCGGCGTCGCGCTCAACGCGTACCTGACCATGCTGCTCGACACGGGCGTGCCGCACCCGAGATCGCCTGAGATCGCCCGAGATCGCCCGAGATCGCCCGAGATGGCTCGGCACGGGCGAGCGCCGCAACGGGTGATCTCGGACCCATCTCGGGCGATCTCGCTAGGCGTGCTGCACTGCGACCCGCACCCGGGCAACCTGCTGCGCACGACGGACGGCAAGCTCTGCATCCTCGACTGGGGCATGACGCTCGAGGTGCCGTCGAACCTGCAGTATGCGCTCCTTGAGTTCATCGCGCACCTGAACGTCGAGGACTACGACGCGGTGCGGCTCGGGACGGGTGGCAGTGGTGAGCAGCCTTCAGTCAAAGATCGGACCCCACGCCCCACGCCCAAGCAGGTGCCTCAGGACTTCATCAACCTCGGCTTCTCGCCGGAGGGGTGCGCTTGCTTCCACAGATGGGGGGCCCACAGAGCAATGGACCGGGGTCCCGTTACCCCCCCGGGGGGGGGGGGTGTGAAGAGCCCCCCGAACCCACACTCCCTAGCCGGCGCATATGTCTCTCCTCTGCGTGTCGCATACCGCACGACACACGCTTGACACAAACAGCACGACCCCGGGCCCAGATCGCACGCACGGACAGTCGAGAACGGACGGTCAGACAGAGATCGACTAGTCAGACAGGCAACGCCGAGTCCCACGGAAGGCTAGCTCGAAGCACGCGTCGCGAGCTGCGACACGCGCTTCACACACGGGGAGAGATGTGCAACACAGTCGGGCCGGCAACACACTCGTCGTGCAACACACTCGTCGTGCAACTCCTCGAGCAGGGTGTCCGCCGAGCGGCTCAAGGCGTCCGGCATCACCGACGGCCTCTCCTTTGCCTTTCGGCAGCTGAGCGCGGGCGGCGGGCCAAAGAAGATTGCCGAGCGCGTGGAGGGAGAGCTCAAGCAGCGGTACGGCGCGGAGCTGAGCGGGCCCGAGCTCGAGAAGAAGGCGCAGGCGGAGCTGCTCGCGGCGATGGAGGCGCAGCTCGCCTCGGAGCAGCTCGCGCGAGATCGCCCGAGATTGCCCAGATGAGCCGAGATGAGCCGAGAGTAGGCGCAGCTCGCCTCGGAGGGGGTCGACGTCAAGGGCGTGACCAACGTGATGGAGGAGGTGTCGCGCCGCAACCGCGAGCTCTTCGCGCTGCCGCCGTACGTCCTCTACGTCGCACGCGCCTTCTCCACCCTCGAGGGGATCGGCCTCTCGGTCGACGAGGACTACGCAATCGTGCAGGAGTGGTTGCGCTCTCCTCCACAAGTCTCAGTCGACGCGTTCAAACCAGCCCTAGGCCCAACAGAGCACGGGCTGGTCACGCACAGTGACACGCGGCACATCTCTCTCGCCTCCTCCCTCTCTGTCTCTGACGACCACGAGGAGGACCACGGCCGTTGCGCCCCCGCCGACCCTATCTCCCCCCGTTCGCAGGAGTGCTACCCCTACCTCGCTCGCCGGCTCTTCACCGACCGCTCGCCGCGCTCCAAGGCGGCCCTGCGGGCGATGCTCGGCCTCGACGGCCCGGCGGTTCGTGCGCCGTCGGCGCTTCCCTTCGGAGCGGACACCGTCGGCGTGGTTGTGCCGACGGCCCAGTCGTCCGCGCGCGGCAACGGCGGCGGCGGAGGCGACGGCGGAGGCGGAGGCCTCTCTCCCTCGAAGCTGGTCGAGATGAGTGAGCAGTTCCGCGAGGCCACCGCGGCCACCGCGACGGTGGACCGAGGCGCGGGCCAGTCGGAGGCGACGCGTGAGCTGGCCGGGCTGCTGATCCTAGAAGCGGAATACGTAGCCATGCATTCCAACCAGCGCTCGAGAGGACACGGACTCCGCTGTATTCGACCGTACTCCGCTGTGATCACCGTATTTGTGTCGCTCGTATTCTCACGGCGCTCTGAATACTCTGCACAAGGCCGTACTCCCGCCCTAATGTTGGTGTATTAGCATGTAGGCTGCTGATCGACCCGGAGGGGTCGACGCTGCAGGTTGTGCTTCGCCCCGCCGGCCGGGCTCCGGGTCTTGCAGCGTGAACGCCAGGGCCACTGCTAGTCTCGCAGGGGGTGTGGTGACGCAGAAGAGAGCCCACCTTCGCTCCGCCACTGTGCGTGTGTGGGGAGACATGCAATTTTCCATTACCCTTGTCCCTACCCTTAGGACATCCTTGTGGAGGAGAGCGCACGGCTTGGCGATGCCGCGGTGCGGCAGGCGCGAGATCAGCCGAGATCAGCCGAGATCAGCCGAGATCAGCCCAAGCTGGACGAGACTTGTCAGCGCGCCGTCGTGTGGCAGGCGCTGCGTACCGCCTTGGTGGACACGCCAGCCTCGCTGGTCGCGCCCCTCGGCCTTAAGCCGCCGCCGGCCCTCGAGGCGCTCCTGGCGGCGACCGACGAGGACGAGCGCGCCCTCGCCACCGCGTCAGAGATCGCCGAGCTTATCGGCCCGCGCGTGCGCCAGGAGCTGGGCGCGGCCGCGAGCGAGCCGCCGCTGCCGACCGCCGTGGCCGAAGCGGTCGGCTCCCTCCTCGCGGACGGAGGCGCACGCGGCGACGTGTGGCGCGGCGTGCAGGGCGTGACGACTCTCTCTCGCCGCGTCGGGGCGCTCATGCTGCGCCGGGGCGTGCAGCGCGCCGAGGGCACTCCCGGCTTGCCAGCGGCGGCTCGAGAGGCGATCATCAACGGCAACAAGGCGGTCGCCGACGCCATCGAGCCCGCCGGCCCCCCGGCGGACGGCGGCGTCTAGCTGCGGGGGATCCGCTCCTGGGTGCGCCCATCTCTGTATCTATCTCCCTGTGGTGTCGAGGGGGGTCCACATTTGTTTCTTTATGTTTCTGACGGTACGAAGAGTGGCACGCTACGGCACCCCCGACTCAGCGAGAGCGGAGAGAGCCTCACCACACTCCGCCGCCCCACTGGCAGCCGCGGCGGCGGGCCACTCGAGGCGCCTCCGCCGCCCTACTCCAGTCACACGCAGCGGCGATTCCCCCGCTGCACAAGAGGCGACACACAGCTCCCACCCCGCGCACTCGCGCAGCACCGCCCGCGCCCTCTCAGCGCAATCGCCGCCCGCCAACCCGACGCAGCCGGCGGCGCAGCGGCTGCGGCAGCTTGCGGCGCGCCTGCGGGAGGGCGTCGAGGTCCGTTTACTATCAGTACGATGTCTAGACTATCTACGGGATTGCCGTGGGGGGGCCTCCATGTGTCCATGTAGGCGGTGCCCTCTGGGGATGAGTGTGGTGCGGGGAGGCGCCGGGGGTCTGGCCCCTGGGTGGCGTCCTCTGGAAAGGTATGCGCAGGGGAGAGGGCGGTCCCGCATCCCAGGGCGAGCTCTCGCTCACCCGATATTGACGTGCAGCGACTCTGCGGGCCGCGCGTTGACGAGTCTGGCGGCGGCGGCGGCGGCGCTGATCGCGGCCAGCGCCTCGGAGGCCCCTGGAAGACGCGGGACGTGTGTGTGAGGGTGGGGCGGCGGGCCGAGAAGAGAGACCCAATTGAGGGAGGCTGCCGTCGCTCTTGCCGCCTCTCGTCGGCAGCAGCAGTAGCGAGCCCGTCTCGCTCGCGGGCAGCGTAGCGTGGGGCGAGAGCCGCCAGGCGGACGAGGCCAGCTTCGACACGCCGGCCGACGAGATGCCGGATACGGCTGCGGCGCTCAGGAGCTCTATCGCGGCGTCCGGCGCGGTGCGATGCGTGACCGCTGCTCCGCTCCCGTGGTGAGGCGCAAAGGAGCAGAGCGTGGCGTGCATTCCGCCCCACCGGCGGAGTTTTTCGGTCGAGTCCGGCCCGCTGGCCTGGAGCGGCTGCCCGTCTGCGTCCACTGGCCGGAGGTAGAGGCTGAACCGCTCATGCTCACGATTCCCGTCAAACTCGGAATGCCGCGGCATACGCGGCGACTCGGCCGGCGACAGCCAGCGTGATACCTCGCTCCTAAGCCCCGCGGTCTGTCGTCCATGTGGGAAGGAGAAGTCGGGCAAGGTGAGGGCGAGCATTGAGGCGGCGCCCCGGCTTCCTCGGCTCGGCCGTCGCGGTGAACGTAGCGGTGAACCTTCCGTGGTGATATTTTCTTCTTATCCGTTTGCCCGGGGCGGCGCCTGCTGTGAAGACCGAGGGCCATTTGTCGCTCTCTTCACGAGCTGCGAGGAGTGGCTGCGGCAAGCAGACAGCACCAGCGCGTTACTCGCGCCGGCGGCGCTGGAGAGTCGCAGCCGCGCGTCGTCGGCGCTGCTAAGAGATCAGCACCATGGTGATCCACCTCCTGAGTCTCGCACTCGCCTTCCACGGCAGCACCACCGCCGCTCGCCCAGCCATCACAGCCAGGTCCGCCGCCGCCGTCGCCTCATCCACCGCTGCTTCAAAGGAGATAGACGTTGAGGCGATCGGCAAGTATGCGGGCGCGGTGGCCGTGCAGATGGGTGCCGTCTCTGCCACGTTCGGCGCGGTCGATCTCGCGACCGACGCTCTCGGCGTGACGCTTCCGTGGCAGGCGGTCGCCGGACTCTTCTGGGGCTTGTCTCTCAAGAGCCGCGTCTTCTCGCCTCTCGACAACGCGCGGCCTGACCTCAAAAAGGCAGTGGATGGGGAGGCGACCCGCGGCTTCAACGACCGGATCATGCCAAGCTGGACGCCGCCGGGTGTGACCTTTCCGATCATGTGAAATCCGCCGGCACGATGCACAGACAATCGTTGCCACCCCTTCCACAATCACAGCATTTGGCGGTAGGTGGGTTCTGGTCGTCGGACCTCTCCGCGCGCTCTCGTCGACCCTCGTGTGGGAGGCGACCGGCATGCACTTGCTCAACCCGGTGCTCCTCTGCATCATGCTGCACCTCTCGGTTGGCGACACGTGGAACACGGTCAACAATGTCGAGCGCCGGCTCGGCGCCGCGGTGCCCGGCGTGGCGTGCGTGCTGGCCTCGGCGTGTTTCGCGGCCACGCAGTTCTACTCGGTGTCCGAAAAGGCGGGAAGCCTGCTGGGGCTGACGGCTGTATGGATCACAGTCGCTGGCTTGCTCATCGCCGACACGTGGCGGATCAACGCCGCCGAGGCGGGCAGCAAGTGGGAGGGAGAGCCGCTCTTCCCGGTGAAGGGCGAGGTGGCGACGCGCTTCTGGTTTGAGAAGTAGCGCGCGCGGTCGGGTGGACAGCGCAGCTCCGTTACGTGGTTGGCCAGCGCTATTGTCACAGAGGGTGGGCGCCCCTGCGTGTCGGAGCTGTGTGCCTAATAGGGTTGCGACGTCGATCGGTGTGCGTCTTTCAAAAAAACGTGTGTTTAAAACGAAACCAAGACCTCAAGGCTTTGGGCATGCGCTCGTCCGCTCGAGACCTCGAGGCACTCTGTCTCTGACGTCTGAGGGCATGCGTTGCAAAAATCCTCTCATTCTCAAAATGTGACCACTGTTAGGTTTCAGTGTGTTGTCTGTGGTATGTGGAAAAAGAAAACGTTCGCAAAAATACTCTTCGCTGCAAGTCACCTCTCTAGCACCTCCGGCTGCCGCACGCACATACCCGCGCCCCCACACCACAACACACACGCACCCTCTCAAGCGATCAAGCCTCCGCCTTCGCCTGTGCCAGAAGCGTACGCCACGCCGTGCAGGCCTTCTTGTCTTTCCACGTGCCAACGCCTGCTCCGGCACTCTCAAACTTTCGGTCAAGAGGCGGCAACAGCTTGAGCACGGCCTCTGGGCATTTGGCCAGCCTCGAGCTCGCCTCTTCGATCACCTTCGCATCGAAAAGAACGGCCGCAGCGACGAGGGCGATCCCGGAGCAAGCCTTGACGAGCGGCGGGTGCGGCTCTCCAAAATGGGAAAAGTCGTCCTCCCACACACCCTCAAACGCGCACTCTCCCTCATCGGAGAAGAGCAGCAGCATTCCCCATAGCGCGTCGTACGGCGACCCTTTGGTCTGCAGCTGCCGCTTCACCTCGGCGACGGCGAACTCGATTGCCTTGAGCTCGTTGCAAGCAATGTCATGCTGCCGGTTGACCGGGTGGCCCGAGGCATGGCGGACAAACCGGTCATTCATCTCGAATGCGAGCTGGCCGACGATGGTGCACTCGCCAAAGCTCTCCCCGTGCATCGCCTGCTGAACCTGTGAGCACACGAGCATGTACAGTGCGGCAGGGTAGGACGGGATGTAAGGGGCGTAGCCGTGATCGCCGATCATGGCGGGATCGGTCAGCCGTTTCTTCGTCACCCACCACCGATTCTCGTCCAGCCGCTCGCCGAGGTAGTAGGTCGTCTCGTCGTCCAACTCAATCGTCGGAACAAGGAATCGGCAGCCAGCCGGCTCCTCTGTCAGAAGATTGTATTCATTCGACTTTGGGTGCGGAGGCTCGAATATCTCGGAGAGTGCCGCTGGAGAGTCGGCCGGGTGCTTCACCTGGTATGACTCGCCTGCTGGCACCTTCCAGTCCCAGCGCTTGTCGCCACCATCTAGTGGCTGAGACCACCTCACGATGATGAGATGTTCGCCATCGTTGTCCTCCTCGCCCAGCACCGTGCCCGTGAGAGTGCCGAAGCGCGGAAACGTGACGGTGAGCAGCTCGACAGCCTTCTTGGCACGCTTCTTGGCACGCTTTCGCGGCGGCATTTTGCCCAAATGACGACTAGGATTCCCGCGTGTGAAGGGAATTCTTACGTCATTGTGCTATCTGCGCCAGTCCGCGCCCTTCTGAGGCTCGCTGGCGCGGACGTCGCTAGGCACACGCCACGGCACAGAGGTATTAGATAGGAAGAAAGAATTGTGTCTGTTGCCTGCCTGCCTGGTTGGTGGCAGGCGGTCGGTCGGTGTCGAGTCTCGTCTCTCCTGTCTGCTATTGCCGCAGCCGCTTCACAGC